AACTTCGGTTACGGATCGTCCCAAAGCCTATGATGTCAACTCAGAAATGATCGCCTCGATGGAGCAGAAGAACTCTTGGCCCTGCACTGCATGCGGCAAAATTTTCATGTACAAGATATCCCTTTTGAAACACATAAGCTTGAATAATTGCCTGCAATGCAAAATTTGCAACCAGAACTTTGACGTGTTAGAAGAATTTAAACGTCACGGTTGGACGTGTCGTAGACGTCTGACGTGCCGCAAGTGTTCCTTCAAGGTAAGTACATTGAAAGATATGAGTGAACACATGAAATCGGTACACAATACTATAGACGTTATACCGATACCTTGTGACATATGCTTCAAGAAATTTGAGACGCAAAGTAGTCTTAAGAGACATAAGGAAACAGTTCATGTGGGCACGTTGATGAAATGTTCTGCATGCGGCAGAAAGTTCCGATCCAATGTTTCCTTCAAGAAACACATAAACTTGAATAATTGCCTGCAATGCCAAATTTGCGACCAGAACTTTGACGTGTTAAAAAAATTTATTCGTCACTATACCATGTGTCTTAAATCTGAGTATACCTGTCGCGAGTGTTCTTACAAGACACATACAAAGAACTGTTTGATTAAACACATGAAATCAGTACACTATGGTACCGACGTTTTACCAATATTTTGTGACATATGCTTAATGAGTTTTGCGACGCTGACTTCTCTTAAAAGACATAAGGAAACAGTTCATGTGGACACGTTGATAAAATGTCCTGCATGCGGCAGAAGTTTCAAATACAAGGCAAACTTCGAGAAACACATAAGCTTGAATAATTGCCTGCAATGCCAAATTTGCGACCAGAAGTTTGACGTGTTAGAAAAATTTATTCGTCACTATACAATGTGTCTTAAATCTGAGTATACCTGTCGCGAGTGTTCTTACAAGACACGTACAAAGAACTATTTGATTATACACATGAAATCAGTGCACTATGGTATCGACGTTTTACCAATATTTTGTGACATATGCTTGATGAGTTTTGCGACGCAGAGTACTCTTAAGAGACATAATCAAACAGTTCATGTGGACACGTTGATGAAATGTCATGCATGCGGCCGAAGTTTTCAATCTAAGGTTTCCTTCGAGAAACACATAAATTTGAAAAATTGCCTGCAATGTCAAATTTGCGACCAGAACTTTGACGAGTTAGAAAAATTTATTCGTCACTATACCATGTGTCTTAAACCTGAGTATACCTGTCGCAAGTGTTCTTACAAGACACATACAAAGGACTGGTTGATTAAACACATGGAATCAGTACATTATGGTATCGACGTTTTACCGATATTTTGTGACATATGCTTCACAAGTTTTTCGACGAAGGGTAATCTTATGGCACATAAGGAAAGATTTCATGTGGGCACGTTGATGAAATGTCCTGCATGCGGCAGAGAGTTCCAATCCAAGGTTTTCTTCAAGAAACACATAAACTTGAATAATTGCTTGCAATGCCAAATTTGCGACCAGAAGTTTGACGTGTTAGAAAAATTTATTCGTCACTATACAATGTGTCTTAAACCTGAGTATACCTGTCGCGAGTGTTCTTACAAGACACATACAAAGGACTGTTTGATTAAACACATGAAATCAGTACACTATGGTACCGACGTTTTACCAATATTTTGTGACATATGCTTCATGAGTTTTGCGACGCAGAGAAATTTTAAGAGACATAAGGAAACATTTCATGTGTTGATGATATGTCCTGCATGCGGCAGAGGTTTCCAATACAAGGCAAACTTCGAGAAACACATAAGCTTGAATAATTGCCTGCAATGAAAACTTTGCGACCAGAAATTTGACCTGTTAGAAGAATTTAATCGTCATCGTTGGACGTATCATAAACGTAAGTTTCACTGCATCAAGTGTTCCTTTAAGACAAGTATATTGAAGGATAGGAGTGAACACGTGAAAACGGTACACAATTTGCCACCAGAAGTTTGACTTGCTAGATGAATTATATCGTCACGATAAGACGTGTCGTAGACCAGAGTATATCTGCCACAAGTATTCCTAGAAGATAACTGCACAAGATTGTTTGATTGAACACATAACATGGAAACACAAGACTACCGCCCCTTTGTGAGATATGTTTCATGACATTAAAATCGCACAACATTCTTAAGAAACATAAGGGGACCGTCCACGCTAACACACAGTCGATAAAATGCGATAAGTGCGATAGTGTCTTGAAGCACATATATAACTTAAACAAACATTAGCGCAAAGTACACTCACAGGAAAATTTTCTTCTGCAGAAGTTGTAATAAGTTCTTCTAAACGCACGATGAATTGGGTCGACATAATGCCGAGTATCAGAGTTGAACTTGCACGTACTGCAAGAAGATATTATCATTCACTAGTAAAGAGTCACACTTGCGGCTTGATACACGAATGAGAGACCTTTTATCTGCGATGTTTACGACAACACGTGTATTTCTAAGGGTAATTTGTACAACCATATAATGAAACATCATCTTGCTTCCTGAATCGTTGGCTATACCCAAGGAAAGTATCGTTTCCCTTGGCCCGTGAGTCGTAAGAAAGCGATTATTTAGATCTAGCAAAAAGATGGACAGAAGGAGCGAAATAATATGTTTACAGCTCTCTTTGCGTTGCACTTCGTGACGAAGTATCTTTCTACGAATGTTACTATTGAATTTTGTATTTAATTTTAATTATTTACGCGGTTTTTATAGATTTTTAATAGATTAATTGTCACTCCACACGCAGAACAATAAGCGCGATACTTAAGAAAGAAATAGAGAATGACTTTACGATGAATTATATATTATGTGTTATGTATAATTAGGTATAATTATACATGATAGGTATAATTATATAAATTAAGGTATAATTATATAAATATATGTAATTATGTATATATAATTAGGTATAAGTATATATAAAAGAAAGTATATATTTAAGGAAGAAATAAGAATGACTTTACGATGAATTATATATTATATATTATGTATAATTATCTATAATTATATATAAATATATATAATTATGTATATATAATTATGTATAAGTATATATTACGTATATATTTTATTTCGTTTACTTAAGTGGAGAAAGATTATAGAACGTCAAAATTAAGAATATTTTCGTGAATGTTTTTTGAAGAATGTACTTATCCAATCACTTCCCAACTTTGTAGTGTTTTTGCTTGTATAAATAAAATATTAAAGAAATATATTTAAGTTAAGAATAATGTTTATACATTGTACGTACTGAAAGAAATGTTGAGCATCGTGGCAGAGTCGGCACAAAACGGTGTCTATTTTGGATCCTGTTGAATTTGTCTGAAACCAAAATAGGGCAACATTCTTTTGCTTTTTATGGACATAATTTGTCGATGAACTTAAACAAGTTGAAAAAATTTTTTATAATTGACAAAAAAGCAGCTCCTGATTCAAAAGTTTGATTTGTGATTATAGAAATCCATTTCTGTGTGCGCAAAAGTATTGTTTAAATAAATAATGTTATGGACTCGTAGGTCCTTCAACTAATGAATATAATAAACTAAATGTACATAAAAGGATAATTCTGTTGGTCAAATCGTTATTGAATTATCTTGCATCCTAGTTTCAAAGAAATCTTTTCGGGAAAAACACGTTTAAAATTTCAAGAAAAACGCGTTTAAAGGTATAAAAAATTATAAACTTACAGTCGTTTTCTGCTAATTCCGCTACTCCTGTCCCATACAGTAAACCTTCCGCTTCTTCAAACAAGTCATTTTACTCAAGTTGGTATTGTTTATTTGCTATTCGAGACTCTTTACTGCGACGTAGGCTACGGCGCGCCTGTCGTTTTATTGGCTGGGCGTCCTTATTATCAGCACATAACATTTATAGAAGTCCAATTTTAATATCTAATGTTTTCATTTCTTTGCGTCCACTTAAACACCTTCTTAATAGATCTTTGTTAAAATAGTTTGGTACATTTTTTCAAACGTGTTTTTCGGAACAAAGCCGTTGCGAGTCACACCTCGCTCAGACATCGCTTTACGCGCTCGCACTTGCGTGCGAGTAACGGACCTGTACGACCATTTCGATTTTGAATTTCAAAACTAAACTTTGGAAATATATTCTATACATAATATATTCTATACATAATACTATATTCTATACATGAACTAAAAAATTCGATTTTTGTAACCCTCTATAGTGCTTTACCCTTTTAAGGTAAATGAAATACTAATATCATGTCTTTTGATGAATCTCGATTATGAATTGCAATCCTATGCAGTATACTTCCGAACAAGACTGTTTTGTACGATATACAGCTGCAATTCTCATTAAAGCATTTTATCTAAGATGATAATTTTTCAGAGAAATTTGTGTTTATATATGTACTTACATTTTAACAAACATATAGTTAATATTTAAGTGATAAAACATCACATAAATGGAGAAAAAATTTCTCTTTCTCTCCATCTCATTTTGAAAGTCTTAAAAAGCATCACACTATACGCATACTGCGATCATATAATGAATATTCCCGTCTATGCACGCGCTCGTCCATAACTAGACATACAAAAAAGGGCGTAAACGCACAGAAAGCGCTGAAATATCTTAGTGTTGTCCGACGACAAGTGTGAAACCGGAAATATTTTTATTGACAAGCGGCGACCGATAAAGAGCTAGTCCTTTCAGACCATGAAGTTCACATTAATAATCGTTCATATTAATATTTGTAAATTTATCTCAAGTGGAGGCGGTATTCCTTTTAGCATTGTATTGTCGATTTCAATAGCATTAATGTATATAGCTGAAGAGACTAAAATTTCAATTTATATATGAGCATAAGCAGAAGATCTCAGCTTGTTTACAGTAGGGTTGGAACAAGAATGTCTATCCTGATATGCAGAACATGATGTTCGGAGTAGGAATTAAGACAAGGGTTTCCGAAAAATGTGTTCTGCAACTATGATATATAGATAAACCTATTACTATTATAATACTCACGTAATACTCATCTGATTTCCTGAAATCACATGAGCAATTTTACCAGTAATTAAAATAAATATCGTCCATGGTATTCATTTGTATAATAATTCAATATGTACTTCAAATATTTTTTCACTATCGATACTGTTGATACTATGGCCTTCTGGTAATCTAGCATTAAAGCATTTTATCTTCGTTCTGCTATAGAAATAGTAAAACTATTTTGAATAGTAGAACTACATTGAGCTTCTCCACTCATATGCTACTTGAGTAGCATCTATGTATTTATGTACCACATGTATGGTAATAGTCCGTACGATATATTGCTTTGATCAAAAAATATTGTGAACGGTTCATTTAAACTGCGCGCGTGCAAAATGTTTTTGTTTTCTCACCAGATTGGTACGACTTTCATCGATATCTAGCTGCAATCCGTATGCCATTGTCTGTTTTCATTTGAAAATAAACGCTTGTGTGTGTGTGTGTAAAGCAGTGCTGGTATTTCGCGAGATTTTCTTCGCGTGATATAACGTAACTGTCTGCTATTGGCTATCGCACCATCTACATATGCGCAGAAGGCCTCCTGACGCAGATAAAATCTCGCGAAATGCCAAAACGGGTACCAACAATTTTTGCTCCGGCGATTAATTTTATTCTAATTTGTGTTTCAGAGACTTACTTATGGATTGTCTGCACGTTCCGGATTCTAATAATTTTATTGACTCATCTATTAATTCTCTGATCGTAACGGATGCTGGTTATTCGAAACATACGCTTGAAAGTATAAAGTACACACCAGAGATCGTCTCTTTACCAGAAGAATGTAAACATCACATTACGAGAGAAAATGAGACAAACAAGGAGACGGAGCGAGAGTATTATTATGTGAAGGAAGTCACAAGAAAACAGAATCTCAACGAGGAAGGAATTGTCACAATAAGCGCGGATCATTTTTGTGAGCCCTCATAGTTTATTGAACATTCCATACAAAGATTAGCATAGAAAAGCATAACAGAAAGTACAATTACTCAGAGCAAATTATATTGTCACGACGAGATGTCTTATGGACTGTCGTATACCTGTCCGTACAAGATAAACAGATAGGACAAGTTGAATAAATACATCAAACGGATGCACGAGATTACCTACGATGGATATGTTCCATTTAACGCTTGCAACGATGCGAGCCTCATTCTTTCTATGTTTAACATTTAATGAGTAACATAAATAAAATGCTCGCGTGATTGCGAGTGTTAAGTAGAACGCGGCCGATTACGAGTGTGACATATATGCGTCAGGAAGTTCAGTACGACTTTTGATCTGAAGCGGCATAAGGTTGTGATCCATATTGACAGGTATGTGTTAAATTGTGACAAGTGTGCTTACGTTAGCAAGGGCCAAGAAGCACTTTATAACTACAAAAGAAGAAAACACTTCAAGTCAGAGTTCTTCTGCAAGATTTGTAAACGTTATTTCACAACCAAAGAAAATCTCGAGCAGCGTGTCCGGAGGCACAAAGATACATACTGTACGGTCTGCAGAAAACATTAACAAGAAAAGATAATTTAGAGGAGCACATGCGGCCCCATATGGTTGAAAAATAAAAATTCTGGAATATGTACGGCAAGGCATATGCCCAGAGCAGTAGTCTGTACAAGTACACGAAGAAACAAGTTCGCAATTATGATAATTACTTTAAGAAAAAAAAAAAAAACGTGATTGCGAACTTTCTGAAGCTCTGCGAGATGAAAGAAAGTGATCATTTAGATCAACCAAAAGAAACAAAAGAAAAGAAGAAATAATCTGCTTTTATTTGTGCAGTTTTCAACGAAAAAGCGTCATTTAAAACACATCAACAACAAACTTTTCGTCGTCTTGTCAAGGCAGATCATCTTTCTATAAATATTACTATTGAATTTTGTACTTCTTTTGTAATTAATTTTGTAATTAATTATAATACATAATTTTGTAATTAATTATAATACATAAGTTTTGTAATTAATTATAATACATACTTATAATACATGACACAATAATTAAATTCCAATCGACATGTAAGGTATTTGCAAACTAGGAATAAGCAAGGAATAACCTGAAAATATATTTGCCGCTTCTACGAAGAAAGGCCGATTCTGCGCGATTCCTTACCATTGTTGTAACTCATTTTGTAATATCCACTAAATTTCTGTACTCGAAATATGCCACATGTAGAAAATAATTTGAAGGACAATGTATATATACATACATACATATATATATATATATATGTGTGTGTGTGTGTGTGTGTGTGTGTGTGTGTATGTATGTGTATAAAAATTAATTTCTGAGTTTTTGTTTTATTTTTATTTAATTTGTTTAACAGATTAATATTTTAATATTTCCAATAAAGTCGTCGTACATTTGGAACACTACAAATAATTTTAATATTCAGCTCTTGAACCTAGTATTTTATTATTAATGCTTTATTAGTATATTAATTGATTTGATTGTAATTTGTGTTTTAGTTACTTTGCCTCTGCGCTTATAGCACACAGCGGTACCTGGTATTTCTTCAAGATTGGTTCAGAACGTGTCGCCTTCCACAAATAATAATTCTTGGGTTACGGATCGTGGGGAAACCTAGGTTGTCAACTTAGCGATGATCGCCTGCATGGAGCCGGGGTACTCTTGGAAGTGTTCTGTATGCGGCAAACGTTTCAAATTCAACACTAACTTCGAGAAACACAGTAGACATGTTGTAGACGAAAGTATACTTGCCACAAGTGTTCTTACAAGACAGATAGAGAGCATTGTTTAATTGAACACATAAAATCGAGACACAAGTCTACCGGCCATTTCAAACGTGAGATATGCTTCAAGAAATTAAAATCGCAGTGCATTCTTAAGAAACATAATGAAACCGTCCGCGCTAACACGCGGCCAATAAAATGCGACAAGTGTGATGAAGTCTTCAAGCACAAATGTGGCCTAAACAAACATCAGCGCAAAGTACATAAGCGAATTTTTTTGCAGAAATTATAAAAAAACCTTCAAAACGGAGGATGACCTGGACCAACATAATGTCGAATATCAATATTGAACTTGCCGCAAAAAGATATTACCACTCATTAATAATGAATAACACTTGCGGCTTCACATGCGGATGAGATATATTTTATCTACGACGTTTACAGCAACACTTATTCTTCTGAGGGAAATATGCGCAACCACGTAAAAAAATATCTGCTTCCTGAATCGTTAGCATTGATGCTCAAGAAAACATTGTTGTAAATTTTCCTAGAGTCCGTGCGACAAAAGAGAGCGATCATTTAGATCAAACAAAAGAAAGGGAAATGGGAGATAAATAATATGTTTACAGCCTTCTTTACATTGCATTTCCTTGACCGAGTATTTTTCTACAAAGATTAATTTTAAATTTTGTACTTATTTTGTAATTACTTAAGGTCTTTTTATAGATTTGTAATGAATTAAGTGATCCTCTATACGCGGTATTCTAAGCGCGATATTTCTCAGACCTTCATGATGACTCTTTGTGAGAACGTAGAATATAACAGATGAATAGTAGTAGTGCCGTTGTATACTTATACATTCAGTCAAAGTGAATACAAAAGTCTTTTTGTAAATCTATGTGATATTTTGTAAATGATCACATAGGTTTTTAGATATTAACTAAAGAAAATTTGTCTATTATGATATGCACTCATATACGTAAAATTTTCTTTAATATTTAAAAATTTATGTGGTCATTTTCAAAATGGTAGATGATTTTTTTGTTCAGCTTGACTTAATATATAAGTATACAACGGCATACGACGCCTACAGCTCATCTACCATATCGCGCGTGATCATTCACCAATCTTTTTTAATTACTATCTCGACTATTATTGGGAATATTGCAAAATGGCACAGAATAGTAATGTCATATCTTTTGTAGGACAATGAATCTCGATAATGAAATTACAATCCTTATGCAGCATACTTCTGAACAAGATTGTTCTTTATGAAATGCAGTGGTAGTTCTCATTAAAACATATTATCTGGGTTTATAATTCTTCTGGAAAATTTGTTGTTATATTTGTACTGACCTTGTAACAAACATATAGTTGTCATATGTTTTAATATTTTGCGTCATGCTTAGTTTTGTGATAATTGCAACAGAAAAGCAAGAATTAAAGGACTAATAAATAATAAATAAATATTTTATATAATTTTGACATTACATTTTATGGGATTCTATCTCATACAGCACAGAAATTCAAAGAAGCTTTCAGAAAGATTACAGAAAATCTCAGAAAGATTCAATGTTTCTGAAACTTTTCTAAAAGCTTTCTGAAATTCCTGTGCTGTGAGGCATGTGTCTTACAATAACGAAATTACGATGGTTGTGCAGCAATTATTGTTATTGGCGAATATTTAAGTGATAAAACATCAGATAAATACAGAAAAAAATTCCATTTCTCTCTCTTATTCTGAAATTCTGAAAAAACGTCACACTACACGCTTCCCGCGATCATCTGACGAATATTTACGATGCACGCACGCACATATAATTATGCATAAAAAAACATAAAACTGTCATATGTTTTAATCTATTTATTCATTTTTGGTTGAGTGATAATTTACGGCAGAAAAGCAAGAATTAAAAATCAAATAAATGAAAAAATAACAAGAATTAAATTACTTTAATATTATCTTTTTTATGATTTTAAGTGTGTTTTACAATAACACAATTACTATGATTATGAAGTGAGTGTTATTACGGGTATTTAAGGGATAAATCATATTTAAGGGATAAATCATTAGATGAATGTAGCAGAAATTTTCCTCCAGTATGCTTAATTTGTACTTATTGTGTTTGTGTTTGATTAGCACATTACCTCGTTATTTAATTTTTTGTGAGAACAGATAATAACTTTTAATATTAACTGTTTTTTTTACATAATTTTTAATTTTCGTATTTAGGAATCAATCATTACTCTTTTATATTTTCTACTTTTCCCTTGTAAAGAATAGGCTATTATGTAAAAATATTTTGAAGTAAAAAACTAAAAAAAATTTTTTACCATTTGATACTTTAATTAAGTAAACTAAATATTTAATGATAAATTGTGATTATTTGTAACATTGTTTATTACAATTACGATTAAACGTTAGTATAGCGAAGAATATTATCGAAGACTCGGTAGATGAATTAGCGCCTTATGGCACGGTGCCAGCATGTCAGAAGCTAAGGGTGGCTCTAAGCTGAGGCAATATCTTCTGCAACACAACAATTAAAATCAGTGTATAACAAAATTAGTATGTAATTATAATAAGTAGTAAATAATTTCGTTTGGATGGGGATCGGCAAAATTATTAGGTAAATAAAGTTTTACCATAAAGAGGTAAAATGTATAATAAAGCATATTGTCAAGGGTTTTCTTGGCGTGTATATTTACATATACATTATAATAGATGATATTATATATAGATGATATTTGCTAAATTATAAGTGTCAAACACACTTATAATTTAGCAAATATCTTGCGTTCTGCTTTGATATAGCACAAGTTCTCATGTTGTTTGAACAATTATATTTTTATGCGTGTCCCCTACATTGTAAAATAGTGAAATAGTAATTTCAGCAATTCATACTCTTGAATTATGTAAATTGAATATTTAGTGGTAAATTATGCCTGGCGTTTGACATTATTTAATTCTATCGTAATTTATTTTTCAGAAGTTCACCTAAGGGACCTCAGTTTTCTGAAATTCTGCATTATCTAAAGGATGATCGAAATAATTCACCTAATGATTTCCGGGCCGTAAAGGATGCTGAAGACATGGAAAATATGTTTGAAATTATAGAGGACATCATCCTTCAGGAAAAATTGAATACTCATGCAAAGAATGTCGATGAACTATTTTGTGGTTCCTACGATAGGTATGTTTACGAAACAAAATTTAAGCTCTACTTGACACAAATTGAATAGCTGGTCATACATTTAGTGAGTTAAGTTGTTTAACTTAATTATAATTTGTGTTTTAGTGTGTTACCTCGTGAATCGATTCAGAACATATCAATTTCCAAAAATAGTAATACTTCGGTTACGGATCGTCCCGAAGCCTATGATGTCAACTCAGAAATGATCGCCTCGATGGAGCAGAAGAACTCTTGGCCCTGCACTGTATGCGGCAAAATTTTCATGTACAAGATATCCCTTTTGAAACACATAAGCTTGAATAATTGCCTGCAATGCAAAATTTGCAACCAGAACTTTGACGTGTTAGAAGAATTTAAACGTCACGGTTGGACGTGTCGTAGACGTCTGACGTGCCGCAAGTGTTCCTTCAAGGCAAGTACATTGAAAGATATGAGTGAACACATGAAATCGGTACACAATACTATCGACGTTAAACCGATACCTTGTGACATATGCCTCAAGAATTTTGCGACGCAACGTAATCTTAAGAGACATAAGGAAACTGTTCATGTGGAGACGTTGCTGAAATGTCCTGCATGCGGCAGAAAGTTCCGATACAATGTTTCCTTCAAGAAACACATAAACTTGAATAATTGCCTGCAATGCCAAATTTGCGACCAGAACTTTGACGTGTTAAAAAAATTTATTCGTCACTATACCATGTGTCTTAAATCTGAGTATACCTGTCGCGAGTGTTCTTACAAGACACATACAAAGAACTGTTTGATTAAACACATGAAATCAGTACACTATGGTACCGACGTTTTACCAATATTTTGTGACATATGCTTCATGAGTTTTGCGACGCAGACTTCTCTTAAGAGACATAAGGAAACAGTTCATGTGGACACGTTGATAAAATGTCCTCCATGCGGCAGAAGATTCCAATACAAGGCAAACTTCGAGAAACACATAAACTTGAATAATTGCCTGCAATGCCAAATTTGCGACCAGAAGTTTGACGTGTTAGAAAAATTAATTCGTCACTATACAATGTGTCTTAAACCTGAGTATACCTGTCGCGAGTGTTCTTACAAGACACGTACAAAGAACTGTTTGATTAAACACATGAAATCAGTACATTATGGTATCGACGTTTTACCGATATTTTGTGACATATGCTTCACGAGTTTTTCGACGCAAAGAAGTCTTGTGAGACATAAGGAAACAGTTCATGTGGACACGTTGATGAAATGTCCTGCATGCGGCAGAAAGTTCCGATCCAAGGTTTTCTTCAAGAAACACATAAACTTGAATAATTGCCTGCAATGCCAAATTTGCGACCAGAAGTTTGACGTGTTAGAAAAATTTATTCGTCACTATACAATGTGTCTTAAACCTGAGTATACCTGTCGCGAGTGTTCTTACAAGACACGTACAAAGAACTGTTTGATTAAACACATGAAATCAGTACACTATGGTACCGACGTTTTACCAATATTTTGTGACATATGCTTGATGAGTTTTGCGACGCAGAGTACTCTTAAGAGACATAATCAAACAGTTCATGTGGACACGTTGATGAAATGTCATGCATGCGGCAGAAGTTTCCAATCTAAGGTTTCCTTCGAGAAACACATAAATTTGAAAAATTGCCTGCAATGTCAAATTTGCGACCAGAACTTTGACGAGTTAGAAAAATTTATTCGTCACTATACCATGTGTCTTAAACCTGAGTATACCTGTCGCAAGTGTTCTTACAAGACACATACAAAGGACTGGTTGATTAAACACATGGAATCAGTACATTATGGTATCGACGTTTTACCGATATTTTGTGACATATGCTTCACAAGTTTTTCGACGAAGGGTAATCTTATGGCACATAAGGAAAGATTTCATGTGGGCACGTTGATGAAATGTCCTGCATGCGGCAGAGAGTTCCGATCCAAGGTTTTCTTCAAGAAACACATAAACTTGAATAATTGCCTGCAATGCCAAATTTGCGACCAGAACTTTGACGTGTTAGAAAAATT